ACTGTTTACCAATGATTGTATATTTCTGAAGAAAACTTTGAACATCCCAGTTATATCAGAGAAGCCTTTGTTGTTTAATGGACTTAACTCCGTTGATTCTCCAGAAAATGAAACTGTTGATAGCAGTTTTTCACATGAAGAGGAGCCTGTGGTGGGTGGGGAAGACCTCCCTCCTCCCAGTCCTCAGGAATCTGAGATTCAGCCTGTGCAGCCTGAGGAAGTGTCAGCCAGAGATTTCCTTCAAAGACTTGATTTGCAGATTAAATTATCAACACAGGCAGCCAAGAAACTAAAAGAAGAAAGCAGGTAAAAATTCCCTGGTAAAAAATGTCAGAGGCTGATTAAATTACTCTTAAGATGTCCTTGCTTTACATTTTAATTCTAGAAAGACATTTCTAATGTATGAAGTGCAAAGAGAGCTACAGATAAAGCCTTAATGCTTAAGGCTTTATCTGTTACAAATGCTTTTGTCTCTGTTATTTATTATAAAAAAATTGCTTCTTTGCTTTAATAACATTAATGTCCAGCTAGTAATTCTGGATAGCATCTTGTTGACTGTTCAAAGGAAGCAGTGCCATAAAGAAAACTTGGACAATACCGACCTTTATAAAATTTGTCAAAAACATTGTCTCTTATTTGTTGGCAAGTGTTTCCTACATAAGATTTCCTGTGAAATCTTTTTTTTAAATATTTTTTTAGTTGTTAATGGACCTTTATTATTTTTAAAAATTTATTTATATGTGGTACTGAGGATTGAACCTAGTTGATAGCAGTTTTTCACATGAAGAGGAGCCTGTGGTGCCTCCCCCATGCTAGGCAAGCGCTGTACCACTGAGGCACAACCCCAGTCCTCCTATGAGTTTTTTTTACCTTGTTTAAAATTTGGTACTGGAGCAAACCTTTCTTTCTCCTCTAGAATTGGTTTCCTTCTGGCTTTAGGATTTTAAGAAAGTACAAGCTGTTATGTTTCTTTTTTCCCCCTGGATCCTGGGAAACTTACAAGTAAAATAGCCCGGTTTGACCTCTATGTAGTACTTCTATGGTTACTTTATTGGCTTCCTTTTCCTTTCCTTAGTCCTGATTTTTTAATCTCTACTTTATTCATCTTGTTATAAATATGCTGTTTGTTTTAGGTACCTCAGTTCCATTTGAGAAAGAAGTGGCATATAGAAAGCAAAAAGATATAAATATGAATATAATTTATATAAATGTAATATATTTAATAATTATATATCATTATTTGTTCCAATAACTGAGACACCAGTAAGACGGAGATAGTAAGGTATGCCTTAATTAATATTTGCTTTTCATGCCACTTTCAAGGTGTGCACAATACTCTTAAGTGGATACACTCTTATCCAGTAGGTATTAAGTTGTACCTTAACATATATATATATATATATATATATAATGTTTTAGATTTCTGATTATAATTTTAAATACTAACTTATGCTATATTTGTTGTTTTTTGTTTGTTTAGAGATGAAGAAAGTCCCTATGCAACGTCCCTCTATCACAGTTAGGTGATTAGTGGCATGATTCTAACCTGGATTAAGCAGTGGTTGGGCCATAAAGAATCTGGTGACTGAAGATCCAGAAGCATCCCTTTTGGATTCCCATAGCACTCATCTTAAAATCATGATTAAGTCTACCTACTGCAGTTGCACTGAAGTGGTTATTTCCCTCTGGCTTTCTATAATGTTCAGTTTTTATTATGGCATGATAGCAAAATTATATTCTGAAGCTTATTACTTTTGTAGGTGGTAATAGTTTTTAGACTAGCTTTTGTAAACACTGGTGGAGATAAGCATCAAAGACTTTATATATTTAAGCTGAAAACAGTGTTTAGCTCCTAATGAAATCCTAATTATGTGAAAAACACGGTGACTGTTTAAGTGATGCTGAATTTGCTGTGTGTTTATAACTTAAGTGCTATATACATATATATATTTCAATATGTATTACATATTCTGTATTAATACAAAGAACCAAATTTTGTCTGCTATTTTGTACAAATAAACTACAAAAGTCTGAGAAAATAAACTATGTTTTCACATATGAGTCTTCATTTTTTTTCAAAATGGGAAAAAATTAATTTTTAAATTATGTTTTGAAATGATGACAACTCCTCCCCCATCTTAATGGCTTTTGTTATTATAAATGCAATTTTTGAAAGAAATTTTGATGATCTAAAAGCAAATCAATTCTAGTTCCTAGCATCCTTTGCATTTTTGTTGACCTAATGTGATTCAGATATAATGAAAATACAGAATACAAATAAATAAATAATACCAAGTTCTGACACATTTCTGAATTCTAGTTCAGATTTTACTACCAAGTCATTTTATAGAGTGTTGTGTATGTAATCACTGTACAGTGTATTCCAATACATCACTATGTAATATATTCCACATTATTTGAATTTAGAGTTAGGTTTTTGTCTTATTTTTTTATACTACAGGTTATAGCAGTAAACTTCAAGCAATATACTATTTACAATTAAGTATGTTTTTGGTATCAATTTCTATTTAACCAGTAGATTAAGTCTTTATGCTTCCACAGCAGTTCTCTGTATTTACCGGTCATCACCATCCCTAAGCTCATCAGCTTTACCTAACAGGTGTTTGCTGTCTCTGGAGCAAAAGGAATTTTCATTATTTTTTTGTTTTTTGTACTGAGGATTTAAGCCAGAGGTGCTTTACCACTGAGCCACATCCCCAGCCCTTAGTTTTGAGACAGGGTCTTGCTGAGTTGCTTAGGGCCTCACTAAGTTGCTGAGGCTAGCCTGAATTTGAGATTTTTTGCTCCAGACTCCCAGGAATTACAGTTGTTTGCCACTGCACCCAGCCAAAAGGGACTTTTGTTGTCCCTTTCTTATTTTTTCTGTTATTTCCTTCTTCCCTGTTTTGTTCTATGGAACAGGAAACGTGTGCCTTTAGATGGCAGTGCAGCAGAGCTTGCAGAACCAGAACTGCATGTATCCAACCTGGAGGCTGATCAGGCAGACCATTGATGGGAAGCAGTAGCTGTCTGCTCTTTACTTGCTCATTTCTCGTTTATAACTTGACATGCATTATCCCCGCACCTTTTTTTCTTTTCTTCATGCTATTATAGCATCTTTGAAACAGGGTGCTCTATTGATCATGCTTTGCCATTTCCTTGTATCCACTACTACCTGAACTGTGGGGAGTTAGTTGGAAAAAGAGAAAGCTTAAAAAAAAAAGGGGGGGGGGGGAAACAAAAATGCCTGTAAAAAAGGCCCAAGCAAACCTCTGTGGAAGCCTAGGGACTTTTTAAAATGTAGTTATGATATTTAACATAAAATGTTCTGAAATTTAAGAGTAATCCAAAAGACAAATCCAAAGATACTATCCAAAACATATAAACTCAAATTTGAAATTAAGACCACAATCTTGAATTTTTTTCATTATTTTATTTTTGCCTCTTTTAGCAATTTCCTATGGAAATTCTGTCATATCAAGTTCCTAATAACTTTGTGGCCACAGCTGAGCTGTACAGGTCTAGAGTACTTTAGTCCCTACCTTGGTATAGAATCACTATGAAAGAGTGGACAGAGACAAGAAACCTGGCCTTTAACCATGTTCTGTTAAGGTCCATCTTCACCATCCAGGCCACATGAGTTTGAGCATGTCTTTTTGTTCCTTAGGTGAACCACTTTCCTCATTTATAAAAACAAAGCTAATGATTTCCCTTTTGTCATTGTTATCAATGGGAGCTAACGAAGGTCACTTTACTTTGAAAATTACAATAATCTCTCTAAATAAATTTCATATTTTAAAAAATATTGCATATTTATTCATATAGAAAAGTAAATGGATAAAATGTTTAGTCCAAGCCAGTTCATTGTCTGAAATAGAAGCAGCCTGTTTGACGTGACTGCAGCTGGTCATGTTATCTCAAGATTCATTAAAGCTGTCTGAGTTGTGCTTTGCAAGTGGAGTTTGGGCAAAGGCTCCCTCTCCCTACTCACTAGTGGGTACTGGCTTCTCTAGAACATGCTCAGCTTAGTTTGTGTGTCTGTCAGGCTTTGGTTTTTGTTTGCTTCTGTAACTCTCTGAAGAGATTGGGAAGGGATGCATTGGTCTCCTACTCCTGAAAAATGGCCTTTAACCAAGTCCTGTAAGTTTCTCAGTCCTCACTGCAAGGAGAATACTGGTAGGATCCTCAAGACAGCAACACAGGCATCAGAAGGCCAATCTGAAATAGTGGCTGATAATATACAAAGCATTGTGTTAATTTTTGACAGTAGAAAGATATTTATGTAATTAATTTACACTGAATAATACATTTCAAAGCCCTCTTTGGGAACACTGACTCATTATTAAGAGGAGCCCTGGCCTCTGTATGCTTGTTTCCAGGGCCATGTCTGTGGTAAGGGAGTTGCAGGAACCCAAAATTCACTAAACTTTTCCTTCAGGGAAGCACTTCTAACTTAGTTCACAGGGAACTAAGAGATTAATGGTTGTCAATCTCTATTTCTACTCTACCTGGTCCTTTGCTCTCTGTTGAGCCACCTTGCTTGGGTCAAATCCAGTTTAGATAACCAAGATCTGGTATAAAATTTTAAACATGCTTTTATACTGTTTACAACCTCAATTATCTTTTTGGAGAGCATATAAGTAATCCCCCTTTATCTGAAAACTCAGTGTCTAAGAACTCACAGAAAATGCTGAGTGGGGATAAAATGTTAATAAAGTCAACAAAATTTTTTGTTGTTGCAAAACTGGGGATTGAACCCAGGGCTGAGCCTTTTTTTTTTTTTTAATTTTGAGACAGGGTCTTGTTTAATTGAACAGGTTGGCCTTGAACTAGTGACTCTCCTGCCTCAGCCTTCCAAACAGCTGAAATTATAGGTGTACACCACCATGTTGGGCAGATCCAGTGAACGTTATACCCATTTTTCAAGTTCCTTTTTGTCCACTGGGCCTAGTAAAGAGCCTCCTAAAAAGAGCAACTGAAGAAGCAGATGGCTTTCAAGCTATAGAGGGTTTGCAGAAATGTGAATTTATTTCAGTGCCCACTAAGAAACTGTAGTGGAAATGACATTTTGGAATAAGGTGGTTTGGGATCCATCATGCTCTGATAACAGAACCCCCTTCATTCTTCAGGGAGTGTGTGTAAGTCTGTGAGACAGAAGTCTTAGTTTTATATTCAGTCCATGAGAGGCTTTTCTAGAGCAACATTGATTATAAAATGTAAATCTATGAAGAAATAAGAATTCTACGTACAAAATCTCAGCTTACATACAATTTTACTTTTCAGATAGTTTTTGTGGCAAGAAAGCTATGTTTTATCCATTTCTAAAAGGTTAACTACTGTAAACTCAGAACTTTCTAGTAATTCTTGGGTAAAAAAAAATTAATCAGAATTAGAAGTGTTTTAAGCTACATTATGTTTTCTGGAACAGTCAAAAGACTCCTGGATCTTTTGTCATTTTCACAGGCTGCTGTAGATGCGCTTGATGGCATCAGCTTCTTCTTTATCAAGGATGCCTTTCTCCACATAAGCGTCAGCTTGTTGGTTGATGAAGTCCCTCATCTTCGAAAGGTCATAGTCTGGAAAATATTATTGAAGTATCATGAGCAAAGATCAAGAGAGACCAATCCCATTACAGTGATTACCATTGAGAAGCACTTTGTGTAATAACAAGATTATCATCTGTTTTCACATTCAGGCAGAGCTCTGCAGTTTAAAATGATGTTTATATGTATCATATTATCTCATCTGTTATTTATCACAACCCTGTGAGGTGTTCAAGTGGGAAGTACCATCTCATTTGACCAAAGAGCAACAGATTCAGACCAGGGCTTTACAAATGTCAATGTTTATAAGCCAATCGTCTAGGGCTCTTGGGAGAGTTTCAGATTCATATTTAGCAGATTGGGGTGAGAACTCAAATTTTACATTTTAAACAATGTCCTAGGAGAACCTGGTGCTGCTGGGCTAGGAAACATCCATGGGGTAACAAGGTCCTGAAGCTAAAGTGCTTTATCCAAGATCACAAAAGCAGCAAAATTATGGTTAGAACCAGGAGTCCTGACTTCCTGAACTTATAATATTAGGTTAAATTCCTGTTAATGCGACAACCCATATTTTTGTTTTCCAAATTTAGAATTACCTTGTTTATTTCATGCTGTTTAAATTATATGCAGGGAATAAGAAGCCAAACCATAACCTCTTTATGGCAAGAAAAAAAAAATCTGTATAAACATCAACTCATCCATAAAACACAAAGAGACCCTAAGTAAGAAGGTTGCCTGTGGCATTTTTCTGAAGACTTAAAAAACCCCACACCTTCCCTGATTATTTTTTTAGATAGTTATAATCATAAATGACCAAACCCTGCCTTCTACCAGTTTGTAAGGGAGAGAGAAAAAATGGGGGGGGGGTATGAAAACACAGAGGCTGCACAGCCACCCTAAGTTGGGCTGAATGTAACCTGAACCTGGGCATCTTTAGGCACCTGTGTGAAGGGAAAATGAAGCAGGAAGGACCTCTCTGTAAACACTAAGTGTTACATGGAGGTGAGCCTGAGGCTGAGAGCTCATTTCCTCTGCAGCAAACAGGGCCTTTGTTCCTGGTTAGGGCATGTATTTAGAAAACACCCAGCACTGAGCACTTTACAACCATCCTCATATCTGTTCTTCACAAAGCCCCATGAGGTAAGCATTAGCATGCTCATTTCAGAGATGAAGAACCAGGGCTGACAGCAGAAGGTACTTGCACAGGTAGCAGCAGAGCCAAGTTCCGAAACCAGGTCAGTCTGTGGTCATTGCTTTGACCATTCTGAAACCTTGAGTACTGAAGATAAAGCTTCTGACAGGTACATTAAGCACATGTTGAATAAATGCTTGTTTTTAACTTTTTTCTTTCTCTTAGTCAGAAAGTAGAAGGCAAACATATATTTTGTGTGTATCTCACAGAGATGATTCCTGGATTCCCAACTCGGCACAGAGAAGCACCTCTTGCTTTTCCCTGGTTAATGAGACAAAAGGCAGACTCTTGATGACAGATAAGGTCTCAGTGATTTGAATGAACAAACAGGAAAATATTTTGTCTTTTTCCTTTTTGGTACTGGTGATTGATCCCAGGGTGCTTTACTACTGGGTTATATCCCCAGCCCTTTTAACTTCTTTTTTGAGACAGGTTCTTGCTAAATTGTATAAGCTGTTCTTGAACTTGTGATCTTCCTGCCTCAGCTTCCATATAGATAGGATTATGGGTATGCATCACTGTACCAGGCTTTTTTGGTATTTTTTGAGATGAGGGTCTCACTATGTTGCCTAGGTTGGTCTTAAATTCGTGAGCTCAAGTGATCCTTCTACCTCAGCTCCATCAGCAGCTGAAACTACAGGAATGTGCCATTATGCCTGGCTTTTGCTTTCTTATGAGAAGGAAAAATTGTATCTTTATGGTATGGTTTGATTGTGTGCAACAGAAAAACTAGCATGGCGCAGGCTCCTAGAATCCAATCCCAACTCTTCCCTGGCTGACTTTTGGAATACATAAGCTAGTCGCCACCTTGTTAACTTTAAAAGAGGTTTTAATTAAGCTTGTAAGGCTCAAAAGAGATAAGGGCTATGGTTTGCTTTTTTTTTTTTTTTGGTACCAGAGATTGAACTCAAGGGCGCTTAACCACCAAGCCACATCTCCAGCTCTTTTTTATATTTTTTATTAGAGACAGTCTCATGGAGTTGCTTAGGGCCTCACTAAACTGCTAAGGCTGGGTTTGAGCTTGCAATCCTCTTGCCTCAGCCTCCTGAGTTGCTGGGATTACAGGCATGCACCACCACAACTGACTTGTGGTTTGCTTTTTTAAAGCATACTTTTTCTTTTTTTGTAAGTCTGTATAAGATTTTATCATCATTCTATCACACCACATGGGCTTCCATTTCTTGAGTTTGGAAAGGGGTTTCAGGTCGCCCAGGTCCCTGCTAAACAGAGGGCACCAGGAGAGGTTAAGAAAGATCAGAACTAATGGTAAGTCCTCTGGTTCACACAGCGTGAGCCACTGCACGGCCGCAGCACCTAGGTCTCCATAGGCCTTGAGAGGTAGCCACAAGTCAAGCCACAATGACATGTGAGAACTTTCTCTGTCTTTAAGACAGCATATTATCCTCCCTTCAGGAGACAAAAGAAAACCTAAAACCCAACACTCTCATACCCTCACTCTGAAGTTCGCTCACAAGGCCTTCCTTGGACAAGAATCAGATCTCCATGCTTCACTGGATGGATCGTTTCTGGAACAGGGCGATTACTTGCAGGATGATGTTAGTTATGGTCAGGAATCTGAGGCATATGTTGACCCAGTGAAAACAATGACATAAATGCTCCAAGTTAGTGTACCTTTAATTTATAATTTATACTGATCTCCAGTTGTTCTTTTTTTTTTTTTTTTTTGTATTTTATTTATAGGCAAGATCTCATTGAGTTGCTCAGGGCCTCACTAAGTTACTGAGGCTGGCTTTGAACACATGGTCCTCCTGCCTCAGCTTGAGAAGCATCACTCAACTCATTGGAGGAACATTATTTTGCAGGTGCTCTTGCCTGATACCTGGAATGCAACCAGATGGCTCTCAAGTTGCTCATTTCTTTATTTCCTCTGCCTTTGCTTTGCCTTGGTTTAAAGACCCATCACTTCTGCTCCAGATCCTGGCCTCCTTATCTTTTTCCTGCCTTCTGGGGTCTTATTTTTTCAATTGCAACCACACTGCTACCAGATGGATTTCTTTTTTTAACCCAATTTGGCGCCCCTGGCTAAAGCTATCCTCCTTCGCAGAGTGTACAAGCATCTTCCCAGCCTGGCTGCTGCTCCTCCCGACAGACACCCAGTGTCCTGGGGGAAAAAATGGCTCTGATCCCCAAAACAGATCCTTCTGTTTCACTCCTTTATGTCTTGGCCCCTGGGTTCCTTCTCACTCCATTTCTCCTCATTCAGTGGATTCTTCCTTACCTTTGCATCACGGCCTTTCCTGCTGTCCTTTCTCCCAGCTGGCTCTATCATGGTGGGATGACCCACCCCACTGTCTCACCCCTTTGGTGCTCCAACATCCATCTACCACAGTCCTGACTGGGTTCACCATAGCCACACTGACACCGTGAGCTCCTTGTTGTATGAGGGCTTGAGGGCTGCATCTGATCATCCTTTGAATCTCTAGCACACAGAACAGGGTGTGTTTTGTTTTATGTAAGTGAGGGGCTGCTTTAGTGACTGCATGAAGCACCCAGTATGTGCTCAGAAAAGAAAGCAAACTGTGTGTGAGGGGGGAGGTGAAACAAGACTGGCAAAATATTCATCCTTATTGAAGATAGGTGATGGACATGTGGGGATACATTATATTATCACTCTTCTTTCACTTGACATTTTTCAAAATCAAATGTAAAAAAGAAGAAGATGCCTTGAATAATAAGATAAGTGAGGTTCTGTTCCTCTTGTCATCTCAAAGGCAGCTGCTGTCTTTTTGGACTGATTCTTTAGACTAATTTGATTACAGGAATCATTATGTAACAAGAGCCGTTGGCAAATGGGTGAAGTTTGTAATGTACAACCACACTGAATTCCTACCTTCTTTATTTCCTTTTTTGTCGTGTTTCTTCAACCATTCAATATTTTTTCTAATGGCTTCCAAATAGGCTTCTGTTTTCCCTGCAAAAGATAAAAGAATCATATCAAATAGTCATAAACCATCACTGTTTCTTTTTTTTTAAAAGAACATACTAATGTTCAAAACCATAAATATTGGACTTAAGGAGCAATTGAAAGGTGATGTCCCTAGCTAGGCAGTGTGTATGTTTGTATAGATGTGTGTGTCAAGCAGATCAAGTGGGACAAGAGTTTAGGAGACAGACCAAGTGGGTAAGCATTATGCCCACACACAAATAAGTACAGATTGATATCCAGGCAGAGAGGAGTTTTGATTTTGTTTTCTAGTTAGATGGGTCCCTACTACTGTTAGATTGGGTCCCTTCTGGTTAGGGACAGATTTTTCAAACTGAGGTCATTCTCAAGGAATGAATAAGAGTGGCAAATGCTTGAAAACTCTATCACCTCAGTTAAAAGTTCAAATGTGTGGCTTTGTGTAAATCTCTACAAGTCTTCTGCCCAATCCTGGGCAGGAAGCTATAAAAATTCAAGAGAAAGAGGCTGGGTATGGTGGCACTCACCTGTAACCCCAGATATTTGGGAGGCTGAGGCAGGAAGATCACAAGTTCAAGGCTAGCCTCAGCTCCTAAGCAACTTAGTGAGACCTTGTCTCCAAATACAGAATAAAAAGGATTGGGGATGTGGCTCAGTGGTTAAGTGCCCTTGGGTTCAATGTCCAGCACCCCCCAATATATATATATATATACCCCCTTAGAAAAAAAGGATGATGAGGGATTCACTTTAAGATTCCAACGGTAGGCAGGGTTCGGTGGCATACGCCTTTAATCCCAGTGGCTTGGGAGGCTGAGGCAAGAGGATCATGAGTTCAAAGCCAGCCTCAGCAAAAGCAAGGTGCTAAGCAACTCCTTGAGACCCTGTCTCTAAAGAAAATACAAAATAGGGCTGGGGATGTGGCTCAATGGCCAAGTTCCCCTGAGTTCAATCCCTGGTACCCCCTCCCCAAAATATTCCAATGGTAGACTTTAGAACTGATTCTAATAAAACTCCCCTGGATATATATATTCCTAGTGGGCTTCCAGGCATCACTGAGCATCTACTCTATGATTCCTTTGCATTATCATCTGTAAGTGAATATTACCAACTTAGAGATGATGAATCTGAAACTCAGAGAGGCTCAGTAACTTGGCTAAGGCCAGGAAACAACAAAGCAGGAATTTGGACTCTGATCTTAGTTTCTGATATCTCCTGCATTATCGGAAAGATAAGGCTTCATCTTCAGATATGGACACAAACTTAGCCTTGTTCTATACTGAAGAAATCAACCATTCCCTGAATTAGGTGGATCCCTAATGCTCAAAATTTATGCAGGAGACCAGGTAGTTCGCCTGCCTCCTGCCCCCTCACCCTTCCCTCTTTCTCCCCCGCCACCCTTCTCTCTCATCTAAAAGAAAAACAAGAAAACAAAACCAAACAAATAAACAAACAAACAAAAAACAAGTCATGGTGGCGCATGCCTTTCATCCCAGCTATTCGGGAGGTTGAAGCAGAAAAGTCTCAAGTTCAAGGCTAGCCGAGCAACTGAGAGAGACCTAAGCAGCTTAGCAAGACCCTGTCTCAAAATAAAAAATAAAGAGAGATGGGGATGTAGCTCGGCAGGAGTGTGCCCCTGGGTTCAATCCCCAGTACAAAAACAACAACAAAATCCAGGGCCTCTGCAGAAATAATGGCTGTCCAGGCATGGAGCAGTGATCACCCCATTCTGAGGTTGCTTTGACCCCTCATGTCTTTAGTCTACTGCACAGACCTCTTGTTTGACTATCTGTACTGTGTGCTTAAGGGGCTGTGCTTTGTGCTCGAAAATTCATTCTCATTTACTCCTTACAACAACCTTTTGAGGAAATCCTCTTATCATCCCTATTATACAGATGAAAAAACTGAGGCACAGAAAAATTAAAGAAATATATAAAGGTTCACATGGTTTGTAAGTAGTAAAGCCAGTTTTAAATTTGGGTATTTCTGACTAGAGTCTGTGAACAATAACATTATTATTTTAAAATTTGCCAGTGTTCCCATTTCCAACACTGCATTTACCTGAAGGACTTCCTGAGCATCTTTTTTCTCTGGTTGTAGGGACACTCTTGCCTTACCACTCAAGAGGAACTTCTATGCAAAAAGGGATAAATGGATTTTTTTTTTAAGTGATCTACAATTTTCAGCCCCTACTTGTTGGGGGAAACATATGGTTTCATTAGTTGGAAACAACATTAGATTCAGGACTTTGTTTTCAAGAATATCAGAGCATGTGAAGAACCATGTCCCCCAGGCTAATGTTCTAACACTCAGTACAATCGATGTAGAGATTGTCATTATTACTCATGACTGAGAAGATCCACTGGATTTGATAATAGTAACAGTGATTTCTACTACAAAATATTCAGTTAAATAGGGATTTTGAAAAGGAAAGAGATTTTAATGAACTCAATTCTATCTAAGATTAGGAGCCATCTCATCACAAAGTTATGGAAAGTTCATTTCTATTTTACTAAGATTTCTATTTGGCCTGACCATACTCTGAGGGCTAATCTTGTTTGAAATTCCTGCCCATGCTCTAAACTCACCCATGCCTAGCTCTTCTTGACCAGATAACAACCCTCCCTAAAACCTTAGCAGCCCCTCATAAATTCTGATGTTGGAATCTCAATGTATTCCCTACCTTGAGATGTTAAGCCATGCAGATCATTAACCTGCTATCTGCCTTTGTATTATGCTTGCCAGAACCCTGTTAGCTGTAAGTTCCAGCACACCCTCTTGTGCTATAAAACCTTTTTCCTGGAGAGCTGGGGTGTTATCCTCAGGTCCTCATTTTGGGTGAGGCAGCTGCTGGCCAACTGTCTTGTGTATACAATTTAAGCTTTACTTTGGCTTAAAATTGGAGTCTGTAGTCTTTTCTTTACATCGTGGTTCAACAATCTTCATGTAGTGTAGAATGCAAATTTATTAGTTGTAAAAAGTTTAAATCAAATTTAGTCTTCTACATAGGACTTGCTTTAATAAAGAGATAATGATAGCACATTAGGTAATTAGGGTTTCTGAAACTTTTGAGTTTGCCTGAAAATAATCTTGTTCTTTAAATAATTTTAAGCATTCTTCCCACAATCTAAAGTACAATAACATATTATGATGTGGAAAGCTTACTTGAAAAAGGGAAAACCACAGCTTAGTCTCTTTTTAAATACTGCACTATAATTTTGAATTTAAGAAGGTAAAAAAATATTATGAGGTTCAAGCATAGTATGGCAGACAATCCCTGCCTGGTGCCTCCCTCTTTTCAGATATGTTAATAGAGCAGCCCTCAACTGATGGTAAGCTATATTGATGGTATCAATATAGTGAATAAAATTTCCTGTATTTATAAACTGATTGGTACATCATTCCTAAGCTTCCTGTACCTCAGGCAGTCTCCCAGGGATCCTCAGTGTGATTAAGCCCCTGTGGCCCAGGTTGAGGCCTGCTCATTAACACACTACACCGTCTTCTTTTCCTTCCCTGTCTCATGTATCTTCCCTAGCTCCTGGTGGTGCCTCCTGGGAGCCCCTTCCAATTCAACTACACTACCTCAGGTTCTTCTCTCAGTATCTCTCTGTTTTGGGGGCACCCAACGTAAGACCCTTTGTTATAAAGGTCTCACTATTATTTTGTTAGGTGGCCTTTTGCTCAGGAACCAATTACCTATAAAATGGTGTTGAGTTTTTTTTTTTTTTAGTTGTAGTTGGACACAATATTTTTATGTGGTGCTGAGGATCAAATCCAGGGCCTCTCATGTGCTAGGTGAGTGCTCTACCACTGAGTCACAATCCCAACTCTGGTGTTGAGTTTTTAAAAAGAAGTATGAATGAATATAAGACATTTTATTCACTATATTGAATCATCAACCCACAACAGAGAATGAGTTTACTAAAGCTTAAAGAAAGCTAGTGTGCAATCTATTAAGAAACTAATACCTTCTGAGTTATGACATAGGATTAGGACAATGTCTGTAACTTAAAATAAAACACCATATTCCTCTCATTCTTTTTTTTTTTTTTTTTTGCTTTATTTTCATCCATAGGACTTATCGCCTTCTACCATTTCATATAATTTGTTTTCTTATTGTTGAGTGGGGCTCAGTGGGGCACATCTGTAATCCCAGCAACTTGAGAGGCTGAGGCAGGAGGATTGTGACTTTGAGGCCAGCCTTAGCAAATCAGCAAGGCCCTAAGCAGCTTAGCAAGACTCTATCTCAAAATGAAAAGTTTAAAAAAGAAAGGGTTGGGGATGTAGTTTAGTGGTAAAGTGTCCCTGGGTTCACTCCCTTGTACAAAAAAATAAAAGTCTTTTGTCTAAGAAATATCTCAATTTCTGATGTACTTTATTCCTAGAACAAAACTTGATACATATCAGATTCTCAATAAATATTTATCAAATAAGTGGATAAAGGACATAGAAAACAAATTAGAAGATTGCTCAGTGATCATGGAATATAAATTAGGGAAACAATAATATTTTTTAAATTGTCTTTTTGTAGTTGTAAATGGACTAAATGCCTTTAATTTGGTTTATTTTTTATTTTTATGGGGTGCTGTGGACCAAACCCAGTGCCTCACACATGCTAGGCAAGCGCTCTGTCACTGAGCTACAGCCACAGCCCACAATAATATTTTTTAAAAAGTATAAATAATATAGATCTCTTTTTCTGTCTCCTTTTTTTTCCTTTTCTTCCTCCTTCTCTGCCCCAGAGAAAATGAATTGTTTATTTGAAAGACTTGAAATCTAATGGATTTTTTCATCTAAATAAGTGTATCAGAAACAACTGAAACACAAACGTGCTAGACATCACAGAACTCTATGTAAAAAGTATTATTCCTATTTTGCTCATGAAGAAACTAAGTTCAGGAAAGTTAAGTAACATGCCCAAGGGGACACATCTCAGTAAACACTAGAGACTTGTTTTGAGCCAGACTGGATCTTGAGCCTCTAATGAGTGGAGCTAGGTCAAATTCACA